AAAAAAAAAAAAAAAAGCAGACAATATCCAATATAACAGATTAACAAGATTACCATTTATAACAATTAAAAGGAACAAACAGAATGTTGGTAAAAAACGGGCATAGTAAAACAACGATCACTGCTCAAGAAAAAAACTACCTGCAATTTTGCAGCACCAGGAGAAAACACATTCTGATTCCGTTGCTGATGAGCGGGCCCACAATCCTTAGCTACAGTATCATTGTGGATTAAAGGCCTTAGACCACTCCCATCTACTGGTTGTGGCAAAATCCCATTGCCATTCGCCAGAGGCATCCTTATATTTACAAATGGACCCATGTTCTGAGGGCCACAATTCATCATTTGCATTTGCAGAAGCTGGTTGGGGTTTTGCACTAAATTCGGCACATTTAGAGGCCCACTAGGCCAGAATTGGGGCTGGTTAACAGCACTACTGGCAAAATTGTTCGCGTTGAGTGCCTGCAAAGGGCCTCGTACAAAGGGAAAAAACTGTGTTGGGGCAAAACTAGCATTCAGGTTATTAGCAAACGGTGGCATAACTAGCTGAGGACTATTGAGCAAACCCATTTGAAATTGAGGCCTAGCTTGCATTTGGCTACCTCCAAAATTAACTTGGCTCCCAATAACCTGCTCGATTATCGCCCCCCAAAACAAAAGTAAACACGTAAATATTCAGCAAAGAGACAATCTTTTGCAGACATAGCCAACAAGCACACAAACAGGGGCACAAGAGAGAGTACAGAGAGATGGAGAAGTATACCTGATGTGGATTTTGGCCATTGATTCCATTGATATTGAGTTGATCATTAGGGTTATACGAATGAGAATTAAAGCGAGGATGCATATTCGTTTGCAGTTGGCCTCTCTCTCCCTCTACGTGTTTCGTGTAGGGTTTTAGAAGTTCATTCAGGTTTTACGGGTGTGGGTTATTTTACGTTTGGGTCCTTGAAGTTTGCTTAGATTTTTTTTTTTAAACATCCCAGTGTGGGATGCGGGTTGAGGGTATACCCCGACCTGTGAATATAAAAGCCCAAAGAAAGCTAAAAAGTCAAAGGTCTACATCAATGTCGAAGATACACAGAGCAACATCAAAACAGAAAATCAAAAGTACAAGGATCACAAAATGACCAAAGTGGATCTAAAAACAAGTTCTCATAAGAGGTCGTCCTGGTCAGAGTGGCCAGGCGTGAGTCCAAAACAACAAGTCTAGTCAGGGTCAGGTGGTGGCGGTCGTCCGAATCTGAAGGATGGATACTCTAGCTGGTCCATCCGACAGAAAATCAAAAGTACAAGGATCACAAATGACAAAGTGGATCTAAAAACAAGTTCTCATAAGAGGTCGTCCTAGTCAGAGTGGTCAGGCGTGAAGTCCAAAACGACAAGTCTAGTCAGGGTCAGGTGGTGGCGGTCGTCCGAATCTGAAGGATGGGTACTCTAGCTGGTCCATCCGAATGAGCGTCCGAAGCCGGAGGGAAATGTCCTCAGGGTGAAGGATGCGTCTCTGGGTATAGAACCTGTTTAGTTTGAATTTAGCCCGTTGATAATGGAAATCTTTTATCCAGACCCCTAAACTTATAATAGGGAAAGTAATTGAGTTTTTTTTTTTTTTCTCGAAACGATAGATATATTATATAAAGGCGCACAAAAGTGCAAAAGTACAACCACTAGCTAAATACAAACAGCCAACATATGAATACAAACAGCCAACAACTGAATAAATTGGGAGGACAGGTCAAAAGACCGCCTAGAATCGACTCCAACAGAGTAATAGTCTAGAAACACAAAAAGCACAATGACACTAAAATCTCAAGAAGAGAATGAAAAAGAAAAAGAAATGACCCCAACAGGAAATGTCCGAGTGTACGATTCTAACAGGATAATAAGGTCATATTCGGACTAATCGAGGCCAACGACTCAAACCTAAAACACAAAAAACTAACATAAACACAGACACAGACATCAGAATACAAGAACAACAAATAAACTAAAATAGCTCTCCCGCAGCAGAACATCTGAATTGAACAACAGACATAGGTCGACTCTAAGGAGAGAATCGAGACGTAGGAATCCCGCTTGCCACTGCCTAACGCCTAGCAAAGATGAGGACCTAAGTCCCGAATCAAACAAAACAAAACAGCCCTGTAACACCCCGCTAACTTATTAAAATCAGAGTTAAATTTTCGCAAATTCTTTTCTAAAAATACTTATTAGTTTGCGAAATCATGACTCGGGATGCTACAGGAAAACATTTCTTTTTTAAAAATCCATTATCTTTACTTATTTAAAACTATTATGAAAAACGGATTATCTTTTAATCAAACGAGCGTGTAATACTGTATAAAATCCGTGCGACTGGCTCGGATCAAAGTCTGAGAAATAACACGCTAGTTTGAAAGTCTGAAAAGATTAGCGGAAGCAAAAGCGTGGCAAATAATATATATATATATCATAAGTCTGCAAAAACATATATATATATATATATATATACATATATATATATATATATGTACTGCACCGGCGACCACCAGCTTTGCTCACTCCTCCGGACCGACCCTGTCACCTGAAAAGGATAATAATAGTGGGAGCGTGAGCACTAAAGTCACTGTACTCCTCAAAAACTCATACTAAAGTAAACATTAATGAGAATATCATTATCATGACTGCAGGTATATATAAGTAAACTGTAATCTCCCGACACTAGGTCGGTAACTTAACTGAACTGCCATGTGCACACTCTGATGGGCAATTAAGGCTACTGCACCTCCACCAGAACTCTGGATGGGCAATTAAGGCTACTGCGCCTCCACCCAAAGAGGATATCTCATATATATACTTTAACATGATAGAGTAATTATAATCAATGTGATACTCAGTCTGAGTTCCCACCTGAACTGCTAATCTGAATATGTAAGTGCTGCTGCTGATCAATCTGTAAAAATATATATAAATAAACAAATACTAAGTACTATGCTCAGACTGACTGAAAATAGTTGTTAAGACGCTCGACTCGATCTAAACATTTAAGTGGAATAATCTCGGGTCTAACTTGACTGATAAGAAAAATGGTGTTGAACTGGTACTGGTGAACTGGACTGACTGGACTGAAAATTAACTGAAATACTGTACTGAACTCGGACCGAATCACTGAATACTGAACTATTCAAAAACCTGGTCTGAACCGACCGGTTCACTGGCTGGCCGGACCGCCGGCTCGCTGCGGTCG